GGGCCTGGTGGACGATATAAAACTACAAACAAGAGTGGTTTTACAGTTTTGCAATCTGGATTAGGAAAACTAAGAATAAGACGTTCGAACGAACTGTAGCTATTAATTGGTAAGGGATTGATTAATAAGTCTGAATGAAAAATGGTTGCTACTCCTCCTCCTCGCCCTGTACTTCGAGCAATATGATGATTTAAATAATTAAAAGGAGTCGACTCGTTTAAACCAACATAGTCCTCTTGCTGCAGTCAGGATACTGTGAGAGAGAGCAAAGAAATCTAATTATCACAAATCAAGTCATTAATCAACAAAGTCTTAGAAAAAATAGATCTAATGTTCAATAACCCACATTAAATTTTTCTAATTTTATGCTCAGTGGAATTTGTTCTAATATTTATGAGATTTTCATGATTTGCTTTATTAAACCTGATATTCTGTGTGATTTTGTCCGTGGGCAGGACACTGTCTCTATGGGGTAGTGGGTGGGTAACAGTACAGAAGCTGCAGAGGGGTGTGTTAAACTACGACTCTGCTTCCTGGTCTGGACCCTGGGTTGTCATGGAGGACTAATCAAACTGGCCATGTTCCTAGAAAGAAGAGCTGCTCCATCCAAAGAGGGATGGATGCCGTCTCTTCGCATCAGTCCAGGTTTTCCCCAAAATGTTTTCCAATTATCAATGTAGCCCACGTTGTTTTCAGGACACCACCTAGACAGCCAGCGGTTGAAGGACAGCATGCGGCTAAACATGTCGTCTCTGTTCCGATCAGGCAGGGGGCCAGAGAAAATTACGGAGTCCGACATTGTTTTGGTAAACTTACACACCGAAGCAACATTAATTTTAGTGACCTCCGATTGGCGTAACCGGGTGTCGTTACCGCCAGCGTGAATAACAATCTTACTGTATTTACGCTTATCCTTAGCCAGCAGTTTCAGATAAGATTTAATGTCGCCCGCTCTGGCCCCAGGTAAACATTTAACTATGGTTGCTGGAGTCTCTAATGCCACATTTCTGACTATGGAGCTGCCAATGATCAGAGTCGGCTTGTCAGTGGGTATGTCACTGAGCGGGGAAAATCTGTTTGAAACGTGGACGGGTTGGTGGTGGCCCACAGGCTGGGTTCTATGCTTCCTGCGTACTGTCACCCAGCTGGCCTGAGGTCCCGGCTGCTCGGGTTATGCTGGAGGGTTGTTACGGGGTGGTTCTGAGCTAGTTAGCCCCACGCTAGCTAAGTAGCTACGGCTATTTACAGGCTTTTCAACAGCGCGTAGCCGGGTCTCTAATTCCAACACCCTTGCCTCCAAAGCTACAAAAATGCTACATTTATTACACATACCATTATCACTAAAGGAGGCAGAGGAGTAACTAAACATCTGACACAGAGAGCAAGAGATAGGAGATGGAGAAGCAGAGACAAAAGTAGCCATAGCCGTGCTGAGGCTAAGCTAACCGGACGAGCAAACTGTTCAACACCAAATAAACTGCGTGCGAACTCAAATGGTTCCCTAAAAGCTAGGTGGAACTACAGAAAATGTGTGTTTTAGCGTGCTTATGTGCTATAATAACTCAGAGATATCCTAGTACAGAGAAATTAAATCAGTTTTAGCAAGCCACAAACACCAAACAGCTACACGTAGTACAACACTGAAAACAGGAAACGCCTTACCGCCAGGGAGGGCGCCAGCTAATCAGTTGGTAGTGGGTGTGTTGGACCTGTTCAGCTTGAAGCAGACCTCCTTGGTATGTGGGTAAAAAAAAAAACGGCTGGTTGAGCGTGGAAAAATACAAGGCTAACTAGTTATGAACACTTTAAAAGCTACCCAGTCCGGTCCGTGCTGACCCAGATGTGAAAGCGCCAACAGTGGAGGGTGAGATGGAGGTTCTACTACTTGGACATCTTGGAGGGTTCTGAAATTAACAATGTAATGGCATTCCCTACTGTGAGAGACAGCATTACAAAAAAATTTATCAGGGAATGACATTGTATGATTTTTTTTATCCTTGTTTTGCGCTGCTGCACATAAGTTTTTTAATACCTGTGAAATCAGTGTTTGGTACAAAGACCTTTGTTTGCAATTTACAGAGGGTCAAACCTTTTATGTAGCTTTTGACCAGGTTTACACATACTGCAGCAATGATTTTGGCACAGTCCACACAGCTCTCCTCTAGATCCATCAGGTTTTGAAGCTGTTGCTGAGCAACAGGGAGTTTTAACTCCCTCCAAAGATTTTCTATTGGATTCAGATCTGGAGACAGGCTAGGCCACTCCAGAACCTTGATGTGATGTTATGGAGCCACCCCTTGCTTATCCTGGCTGTGTGCTTTGGGTCATTGTCATGTTGGAAGATCCAGTCACAACCCATCTTCAATGCTCTGATTGAGGGATGGACACTTGCTCAAAATCTCACAATTCTTGTCCCCATTCATCCTCCTACTAATACAGTGCAGTCGTCCTGTCCACCTCACAGAAAAGCATAGTTTCCACACCTGTGTTTCACAGTAGGAAGGTGTTCTTGTAATGCAACTCATTGCTCTTTTTCCTCCAAACACGGCGACTGGAGTTTAGACCAGATTTTCTTTATATCTGACCACACGACTTTCCATGCCTCCTCTGGATCAGATGGGCAGTGGCACACTTCAGACGGGCCTGGACATGTGATGACTTCAGCAGGGAAACCTTTCGTGCATGATTTTAAACCATGACGGTGTAGTGTTCTGCCGACATTGACGTTTGAAACTGTGGTCCCAACTCTCTTCATGTCATTGACCAGCTCCTCCCATGTAGTTCTGGGCTGATTCTTCACCTTTCTTATCATCAGTGATACCCCACAAGGGAAGCTCTTGCATGGAGCCCCCGTCCGAGGGAGACTGACAGTCCTCTTTAGCCGCTTCCATTGACTAACGATTGCTCCAACTGTTGATCTATTTTCACCAAGCTGCTTGGTAGCCCTTTCCAGCCTTGTGGAGTTCCAAAGTTTTGACTCCTGGTTAGGGTTAGCTTTTGACAGCTCTTTGGTCTTGCCTATAGTAGTAGGTGGACAAGTGTCTTTAACAAGCTCAGACAGGTGTTTATAATTTAGATTAATAAGTAGAGATGTACTTTTTTAAGGCAGAGTTACAGAGCACGAATTCTTGCTGACTGCAAAGTGTTCAAATATGTATGTGTAGCAGTGTAATACAAATACGTTCTTTAATCATACAATGTCCTTTCCTGATATATATATAATTTTTTTTTGCCTGCCATCTCTCACAGTGAGAATGCACCTCCAATGTGAATATCAGAGCCCTCCATGATTTCTAACTGAGAGAACTTGAAAAACTGTAGGGTGTTCAAATACTTATGTGGCTCACTGTATGGGTGCATTTCCCACCTCACATCCAAAGTCTCTGAGATAATATGTCCAGGAAGTAAACTCAAGCATTTATGTAGCAAATGAAGAATGTTATCCAAGGTGTATAATTATCTTTAAGGCCAGAAAAATATTTGTTTAAATGGAGGGAGCGTGGCTTAGACAGATACCAGAAGCAGCCACAAGAGAGTACTTATGTTTTGTGTAAAATTGCTGGTACCCTTCCATTAAGCAGTGGCCATTGAAACATTAAAAATGTACCAACTCCAGTTGTCTCAGGCCTGTGAGGTTCCTTCTTCAGATGTTTCAGCTCCTTCCACAGATGTTCTACAGGTTCTGGATAAGGACTCATAGACCTTTTCAAAAAAGTCTGATGATCTGATCTTTAATATTGTGTTTTGGATCATTAGACCCCATAACCTGAGACAAGGAAGTCTTTGGACACTGAACAGCACATTTAGCAACAGAATGTCTCTATGTTCTTGAGATTTTATTGGACCCTGCTCAGATTTAAGACTTCCTGGTGCAGATGCGGTAAAGCAGAACCAAAACAAAACTGAGCCTCTTCACTATGGGTCCATGGGTTGTTTTCTTTACGAGTCTGATTATAAGGCTGTAATTTTTGGGCTGTAATTTCCCAAAAGCTTCAGTTTTAACTCATCTGTCCAAAGGATGAGAAGCTTTGTGGCTCTTTTTGCATTGTATTCCATTTTCACTTTGTTGGATTTACTTCCATCAGCAGCATGCTCCTCAGCTGTCTGAGTCCATGTTATTCTCAAAAAGTAACCGATATTTTGATCTGACACTGATTAAACTTGACCTTTTAGTCAGAGGAACAGCTTGGAAACAGTCTTCAAGTCTTTACTTTTATGATCCTGATCAATAAAAGTATTTTAATCTCCTGGGACAACTTTGTCTTTAGCTTTCTGTGGTCCATCCTCAGTGTGGTACACACCCTGAGACCAAACAGGACTGTGACTACTGTTCCGCTGTTACCAGGCAGACTAAAGGTTGGTTTAAGCTTGATGCGTCCACAAGGTTCGCACGGCTCCGTGCGGCAAAATTGCGTCATTTTAACAACCACGCCCCTCCACCTGGCCCAAACTTTCCACACCGCGCACCTAGGAAATTTTCTAACCACGCGGATGGTCGAACACGGAAAAACATGGCAGACTGGCAAGAACTAGTTATGGCAGAGGTTCGTAAATACAGACATTTGTATGATTCAGCTCTCCAAGATCACCGTGATCAACATGTCGTTAATAATTCTTGGAGAGAAATAGCTCGCACTGTCGGAAAAGACAAGGACGCTGTTAAAAAAATGCTGGAATGACATGTTGTAAACAACAGTAATTTTTACTTCCACTATAGTGTAGTGTTGCATGCATGCCGTCGAGCTCCATGCTGCCCCCTACAGTTTAGGAGAATATTGGCTCACCGCAGAGACAAGCCGCATTAACCTATAAACGCTGCAAGTTGTGAAGTGCGTTCCATCCGCGAGCCGCATCACCAAGCGGAAAGTAAATGTGTCAAGCATAAACCAAGCTTATCTGGTTACCAGACTGAAGGCGGCTGTGACTCTGGTTACAAAACACATTCAGGGCAAACTTTGACACTTTCTACCAATGAGCACAAACACCAAAAGAAAAGAGAATATCAATGATCTTTTTTTTAATTACAATATCGAAGCATAGATGCATTAATTGTGAAAAAGGTAGAAAAAACACCAAGTCTTTCTCAATAAGTTAAACCTTTCTGGCCAAACAGCAGAGCTGGCTCATACAACACAAAACATTTTCTGTAAAGCATTCAGATTCAACGAAACTAAAGACAAGTCGAGCTCACGATGCTGAAACGAAAGTGCGAGTCCTTACTGACTTCAGAACAAACAAAACAAAAACAAAGAAAACATAGAAAATCCAAGTGGCTTATGTTACTTTCCTTCCACCCTTTACCACGGGGTTTCACAAGCATTTTCTATGAAACTTCACAAGTTTCCATCGTTTGATCGACATACAAGAAGTTGAATTATAGTTGGTAAAAAAATTATAATAACAATGACGATAATTACAAAGACGGTAATAACAAGAGATGTAGGTAATAAACACAGTCCTGTACAGTCAGGCTCATCGAGTGATAAACCACCGCCAAACCATCGGACTCATCTCCAGCAGCTGGAGACTAAAGACGAGTCATCTTCATCTTCCTTCAGCTGCACATGGCTATGGTTCAGTGGAAAATGCCTTTTCCATTTGATTTCTCTTTTCACTGCAAATGGAGCACAAGACAAAGTCACAAACTGTCAAATTATTTATTCACTACACAGAAGTAAAATAAGTTTTGGTCACATGAGGAAACAAAACAAACGTGTAACTCAGTTATTTTTTTTAATGACCTTTACCTTGATATCTTCCAGTTTTCACTTATTTTTTCTCCAGGGGTCTCATTTATCAAACATTGCGTAGAATCCTTACTAAAACCGTACTTCAGCTCAGCAAAAAAATGTACTAGCGCCAAGTAGGTTTGTGATCTATCAAACATGGAGTTCGCACAGCTGCACGCAATCTCCGCTTCATAAATCGGAGACTAACGAGAATGTTTCTCAGCTGCATTTTAGTCACATCCCGCCCTCACCATGCCCACTTACTGCCATAAATAGTCAATGCAAAGTGCCTTGTGGATCTCATGCATACACATAAGCCGGCTGTTGCAGCGCTCCGCCAATGACATGGCGACTGTAGATCAAGGCAGATCAAGGAAGCGCAATTTCACAGAAGCAGAAATTGAGGTACTTGTGTGTGAGGTGGAGAAATGAAAGAAGTGCTTTTGCTAAACAAATAAGAGAAAATCCCTGGAGTGGCACAGCATTGCTGAAGCCGTCAATGTTGTGTATTCTTCAGAGAGGTCTGTGTGGATATAAAAAAAAATGGTCCAATCGGGATTCGATCCCCAGACTCCTGGGTGAAAGTCACGTGTGCTAACCAGTCAGCCAAACGGAGATCTCTCCTGTACAAGTAGCCAGGGCGCATGATCAATCGGGTCACAGTGACAGGACGCATACTGTCACAGACACATGACATTCTGTCACAATCTGTCCCCCTGCTGATATTCAGCATTCCGTAATCTGTGCTTCAGGCTGTGAGTCTGCGTGTGCGCATGTGTGTGCACGTGTGGGGGGGTTTGTTCTGTGTGAAAACGAAGCAGTACAAGTGATAATGCTGCATGATTTCATAATTTTATCCTTCTCAGCAGCAGCACTGCAGGTGCTCTCCATGTCCAACATGTGCGTAAGCAAGGTCCTTAGTCAATTTAAAGTTGCGCACATTTTTCCACTAAGTTTTCTTTCATAAATCCCAAAGTTTGCGTGGAAAGTTGCTTACGCAGTTTTCTGACCCTGTTTTGTGTGTAAGCAAGCCTGATAAATGAGGCCCCAGGTCTTAACTGGGGGTTATTTTTGTTTTCAAAAACCTATTTTTTCTATTCTGTTCATCCATTGGAATTTTTTTGTTACCCTTAGTTTGTCCACCTTCCTATATTTTTCACCTACAAACTGACAACATGCTGTAAAGTAGAAGGACTGGACAGAAACTTAGTCAAAATCCAGTTAAAGTCAAACGAGAAAACCATCAGAAACTTGGAGAAACCAGACTGTATGAATAATGGACAGACCCGTCGCACCATCACCTGTGAGCCCATGTGGCTCTTCAACAAACCAAAGAAGTCCAGTTGCCTTTCATTTGAACCCTTTAGGATTACCATGACCTGGATGACTGAGAATCTTCACCAGCACATGTAGCTATGAGCTAGCTGAGCTAACCGAAGCTAATGGAGGTTGGCCAGAAAACTGCGGTTGAGTGTCTCCGCTACCCTTTGTCTTCAGCATGTGCAGCACATGCAGAATTAAACATGTATGTTGGTGACATAAAGAGAGACAGCAATAGGGATGGGCCAACTTCCTGCACCAGTCATCGCTAATCTCTGCTTCACCTCTGATGTCTGCTATGTAATTGAACAGGAAATGTGTAAATGTGTCCATTTCCACCATAAACATGTTGAAATCCACAGAAAATGATGTTTAGATCTGTTGAGAAGACACATTGATCTACTAGCGTTATGATTGCAGTGGATAAACAGAATGGCACTGCCTCCTGTGAACACACATTACTATCTGACTCTCCAAAGCTAAGCTGAGAAGTGCTCACGCCTGCTTCCAGATGCCAGTGAGGATTCTGTTAGCCTTGCAAGGTTTCATACGATTTGGTGAAAACAGTTTTACACTCAAGTGTTTCTAGTATCAATTTTCCAGTTTTCTTTCTGTATTTGACTCAGTTTATATGTCTTGTCAGCTCCACGAGAGAGAAACGCACACAAACTGGCGGAAACGTTTTGCTCTCGGACTTCTCCGTCTCCTGGAGAGTGCTGCGAAGCAATTCCCCGCCAGAAAAACGGAGGGCGTAGCGCTGTTCTGTGGTATCCGGTCCACGATAGTACATTTACTATTGTGTTTATTGTGTTTTTGCATTTCAGAGACTTTTTTAACAGACTAATGTGTCCCTCATTCTCCTCCACCTCTTCATGTGCTCGCCCCCTCTAAACCCACGTTCCCCTTCAGTCCCATCCACGAATAAAACGTTTGCTGCGTATTTCTTTACTCCTACAGTCACGGGTGAATAAAATGTTCATATTTTTAGTTTTTCCGTGAGGTTTTCTTCAAGCTGCTCCGTATCTGTTGCTAGATATCTTCGGCTCTCTCTATGTTTTTGAGGGTGCATGGGCGGCGCTGTTGACAAAAGCGGTGTCCAGACCAATCACAAGCTTGCATTCTTTGTCTCATTTGACGGATGTTTATAAGTGGGCTTGACTTCATCCGTCCTTGTGAGCCTGCTGGAGAGGCCTTGTGAGGATGGATAATGACATTGTGTGTCTCCGTACCGACTCATATGCATAAACTAGGCATTAGTCTGGTTTATGTTTTATGTCCATTAAACTGGAACAAACTCCCCTTTTTCTGGCAGAGCACATCTTTATATGTTCCTTTAAACCACCTCTTAGAAGGTAATAAACCTTCTGCTTTCATAAACTTTAATTCCTACTTATTATGTTATCATACTGGATGAGTATTTATAAAGGAAAATGGACCACACAGAAACCAGTCAGACCCACCAGTCTCACCTCAGTGGCGCTGGCTCCTACAGACTCAGTCCAGCTCGTGAACTTCATCCTGCAGTGAGGCTGAGGGCCGTCCTGCATCTCCAACGCGTTTGGCCATGATGTCCCACTGTGGAGTCAATGCTTTGGATTTGGTACCTAAAAACAAAACGGAGCAGGAGACTTGATGCAGCTGAACACCCAAACAATAACTCACAAGCCCCCTGGTGGTTCCAAGTGAGAACAACTCTTTTGTTATCAGAAACAAAAACTAACAGGAATAAATAAAAGTTTGGAGTGTCCCTAAAGACAGACGCAGAACTTTTCAGCATCTTTAGACATGTCCTCCTATCTGTCTGTGATCTAGGCGTTGGTTTAAGGAGAAGATGTTGATCTCTAAAAGGCATCAGGAGGCGCAGAGAGAAATCTCTCTTCAGAGCTGGAACTGTAGACATGCACATGGATCCTTGTGATTAATAATAATAATAATAATAATAATAATAATACATCAGACTTATATAGAGCTTTTAAGGACACTTAAAGACGCTTACATGCACTCTCACATTCACACACTGCCGGTGATGGTAATCTGCTACGTAGCCACAGCCCTGGGGAGGTCTGACAGAGACGAGGCTGCCTTTTGGCGCCGTCGGCTCCTCTGACCACCACCAACACAGGCAAGTTGAGTGAAGTGCCTTGCCCAAGGACACAACAGCAGAATACCCCTGGTGGGCGCTGGAATGGAACCCATGACCCTCCGATCATGAGGAAACCTGCTCTACCTCCTGAGCTACTGCTGCCCCTTTAGACATGTAAATAAACATAGTTCTATGAATAATAACAATGCAATAACAAACAACACATGTTCCTATTCCAGCACACACTCCGCTAACGTAAGTAGATCCCTTTGATCTGCTAAATCATTGGAATTTTGTTTTTCATCACATTTAGCTTGTAAATGATTTAAAATATCTTCTACTTCATTTATTTTATAAGAAATATTTTGTTGGATTGTTTGGAAAAAGAATCATAACACAACATAACAATTGAAAGGTTTTGTACTGTTTTAAATACATTTTGACTGGGAAATGCTCTTTAAATGGCTTCTATAGTTTTAGATGTATTCACAAAATTGCCAAACACCAGAGGTGGAAAGTAACAAATTACATTTACTCACGTTACTGTAATTGAGTAGCTTTTTTTGTGTTTATACTTTTTAAGTCGTTTTTAAAAGCTGTACTTTTACTTGAGTATGTTTTTTAAAAAGAATTGTATTCACTACATTTTAAATCATAACCGTTACTGAGTAAAAACAAATTATAGGCTTAATAAATTAAAAACATTGCATGTAGCAGCGTCGGAACAGAAAGAGACGCCTGCATGAGCACCGCGTCTAAACCGTGGGGGTGTGGGTGTACACTTTGCTCAAAAACATCAGTTCAGCCCCTGTGATCCACTCGCTCTCTCCCTCCTCTCGTAGGTTGGAACCCGCACCTTCTCGCACCGGTGTTACGTCATCAGAATTCTGCTCGGTTCGGTAGCTGGACTCGGTTCCGTGTTTGAAATGTGTTTCCCCAACCGCTCCGCACAGTAGTGGCAAAATAACGTTTAGCGCTCATAACAAACGGATTCTCAGAGCTTTGCTCATAAAACAGAAGACCTGCAGGCCTCTGAGTTAAAACATCCTGACACTGTTCAGGTGTAAACTTTGTGCTCCATCCCTGTGTTTGAACTCAGAATATGCTCCTTGATGCCACAGATATGTGATGATTTAGCTTGTTTCTTTATTTTACTCCAGAATAAGAGATTAAATTATTACAAAAGCAGTTCAATGTAGTTAAATTAGTCATTGAAATGATTCTAACATGCTGCAGTGTGTGTGTGTGTGTGTGTGTTACACATTTAGGATTGCATAAGACAGCATGGTTTCATCAAATCCATGCATCTTATTTCTTGGCTGAAGTAATGGTGAACAAAATAACTTGTATTTCATAAATAATGACGTCTCTGCAGTATTTATGATAATTATCTTATATTGGACTTTTCTTTGGTCTGGGAGGTGTACCATATCATGATACAAGCCTTTTAAAACATGTTAAAGTGTTACAAGAGGAGATAAATGCATGAATTTAAAGTTCATGTTTGGAGACCAACCTTCACAGTTTGGAGGCTCACGCTGGTGAGGAGACACCATTAGTTCTAGTAACACCTGGGCTCCCAAGGCCTGCTCTGACAGGATGGACGTTACGGGACCCTTAAGCCGGGCGTACACTGTGCGACTTTTTCACTCGCAGCGTTCAGCTTCAGCTCAAACTGTACGACTTCCTCGCAGGGCAGATCTCACGAGTCGTGTGCTCACACTGTACGACCCTGTTCTCGCATGCGACCTGACTGCTCACACTGTACGTCTGGTAGCAACACGTCGGCCCTAAAAATGTGCTAAAAATAGCAGTTTTTACTCAACACGTCAGACTTTTTTGTCTTGCCTGTTGTCCTTCGGGAGTGCTGCAGGAGGACACACAGGGATTTATGGGGGTTGGATGAGGAAAACGAAATAAAGAGAGTAAATCTGTGTTTTGTGATCAGTTTAATTTGACATGAACACGACAAACACGCTTTCTTGACAATCTTTGTGAGTAAAAAAAAACGTGTAGAAACAAAAACGAACAGCGTGTGTTATTAGGGAAATAGCGAGCGACCGGCCGGCGTTGATGCAGGATTGCGCGCGCATGCGCCGTGAGCGGTTCTGATACTTTTTGGATCGTAGCTGCTCGCAGCGCCGCTTCAACAGTGCAATACCCTCACGAGGGACGAGCGAAATATTAAACACACCAGAAGTCCCTGCGACCTCACGACTGCTGATCGGCGGCTGGTCACGTGGTGTTAATCGCCTCTCGTAACCCCCTGTACACTACACGACCGCTCGGCGCAAAACTCGCCCCGATGTCGTGGCTTCTCGCACGACTGGAAAATCGGCTCAAAAAAGTGAAAAAGTCGCACAGTGTACGCCCGGCTTTAAGGATTCCAGTTGGATGATTGGAGGATTATTTAGGAGGATTGGAATGAACAAACCGATTTCAGTAATGAAGGGTTAAATGAGTGAGTGAACCCACTACCAAGGATGAACTCTAACTTTAAAAATCAGCTGCTCTAAATAAGCATGAAGGTCAGAGAGGAGCTCTAGGATGGACATGGATAAAGGAACTGTAATGTAGAGGTAAAGTAGGGCAGGGCCAACGTTAGCGGCTGTCATACAGTCCATTTGAAATGTTCGAATTTTATTTAGCTTGTTATGTGATGTGACAGGTTAGAGCACAGTCTCATGTTACTTTTGTCATGAGAACATTGAGATACCTCACATGCTGATGGGAGCTAAAAAAAACTCTTTTTATTTTTTCAAAATAAAGATTTTTAAACACAAATCCTAATACAAATACAATCCTAGAAAAACCTCGTCCAATCAATGTGCACGTCCTGTTCTCACTGATTGGATAGAAACCCTTCCATCAAACAGTGAGTGTGTGTACGTGACACGAGCGTGTTGTGAACTGGTGTTGTGATTTTGCACCGATGTAGCCATCTTCACGCTGACAAAAATGTAACCAAGTAACTTTTACTTTGAGTACATTTTATTTACGATACTTTTTACTTGTACTTGAGTAAAAAATTATCCAAGTATTGGTACTCGTACTTAAGTAGGAAATTTTAGTACTCTTTCCATCCCTCCCTCAGGGAACCCAGCCATCTTCATCTTTCCCTTGCTGCCATGTTACCATGACAACAGTCTTCAGCTAAAGCAGCAAGGGCGCTCCAATCTCCTCCTCTCCATCTTTCTCCAACACATCCTCACCTTTTCTCTCTCTACCCTGTCTCATTTCAGAGGGAAAGTGGGACAAAAGCTCAAATAAAAACTTGATTCACGTTCAAGTTTCCACATTTAAGCATTAAGTTAAGAATTATGAAAATACCTTTAATTATGGCATGAATAAAACTTAAGTTTCTCCAGTCAGCATTAAGTGAAGTAATTTAGATTATTTCGGGACATATTAGCAAACATAACGAGTGCGGTAGAGCTGAAACAGGAGCTCTCTGTTCCACTGACCATCCAGTCCGTTGTGCTGCTCATAGGTGCGTTTGCCTAGGATGGTGGGGGAGCCGTTGTTGAGGATGGGGGACGGCTTTATGGGCATCAAGCTGCCTGTGGAGATGGAGCATCCTCGGGTCAGGGGTACGGGCTTGGGTGGACGGGGATGTGCTTCTGTAAAGTTAGACAAACGATTTCATCTTGCTGATTAGACTAAATCTGTCCAAATCAGCAAATAAAAATCACTTGATAATAAAAAGCACCGCCAGATTCACCAGGTGCGTGGTTTCTTCTTACCTAAGTACCGGACCACAGACTCCAGAGGTTTACGCTCCATGGGTTTTTGTTGCGGAGTCTTTTTTGGCTTATCTGGTAACCGCAGGGCACCTAGCGACAGTCAGTGATAAAATACAGTAAGTGATCAGATATCGGCTTAAGTGTCATTGAATATAGCGTTAACTACTGAACAAGAGCGTGGCGGGCCTCCTACATTCTGCTTTGATGGCTACTGTGTTGACTAGGAGGTAGGGGTGCCGGGCCAAGTATCGGGGCCGGATGACGTCCTGGCAGAGGCGGCGAGCCAGGCGTGTCAGACCGGTGGTCTGCAGGAAAAACGCCTGTCGAGTTTTTACAGCAAACTTTGGGCTGCCGCTGTGTCGAAGGGTAAGGCCGTGGGGGATCTGAAAGTACAGTTTAAGATGGATTCAAGTTTTCCTCCAATGTTTCACAAGAGTAAATGTATCAGTAGAGAAAGGTTAGTGATCAGAGCTGCATAACATATCACAGGTGTGTCTTTACTACAAAAATGTCCAAAAGTCTATTAACCAAGACAATATTAACCACTCATCTATCTGTCTGTCTGTCTGTCTGTCTGTCTGTCTGCTCAGCCTAAATGAGTACACCCCATTTAAAAAGCCCAAATTTAATCAGCAGTTCAATGAAGAAAAAGACAATTTCCAGAATTTTCACAAGGCTGGGCTTTATTGAACACGTGCTTAACTCCATTAAATGAAATTAAGGTTAATAATATAACTTAGATCACAAAATCAACCTGTCTGCTGGACACCTCTTAGATGAATCATTAGGCTCACCTGTGGTTGAATGCCTGTTAGTTTGGATTTTGTAGTCTTAAGTGTGGCTTTTCTCCCAAGACTATAATTGGGGTGTACTCATTTTTGAAACACGGGCTTGAATAGATTTGTGAGGAAAATCACTTTTTATGTTTGCAATCAATGGCCCACATTTGTGGGAGTACTTGTTATCTCATAAATGTTGATTCTGAAACTATAGGTTTTCTGACAAATGTAGTGGGGTGAACTCAGGTATGTATCTATACAGATACACATATAATGTTAATTATAGATGCAAAAACAGCTGTGATTAACAATTTGACACAAAACAGCAGTTATCTTGTACCGTGCTGCTGCGGTTGGGTCCTGGCCTCTCACCGTCCAACCTCGTGGGCATCTTTAACCCTCCATACTTCTTCCAGTAGGTCCAGCATGAAGCACAGAGACGGCACTGCATGTTGGGAGGGCCCCATGAATACCACTGGTATGAGCTGCTAGCTGCAAACACACAATTACACTTGTGAGGTCAAACAGCAGAAAGAAAAGAAAACATTCACAAGAGCTTGAACACAAGCGTGTATGGTGTTAAAACTGCAGGGAGGTAGTAAGTATTCTACAGCAAGTGTAACATGACACGAAAGACTTACTGTAGCAGCTTTCACAGGCCCGGCCCAGGCCCGGGGTCTGACCTGCTGGGCCCGGCGGTACCGAGTTCCCTCCGCCCGCTGTTCCATTTAAAAGAGTGGGCTTTACATTGTTGCTCAGCTGGTTGGGGTTTGGCTTGTTACTGGGAGGACACGAACAGGGAACGAGTTAGAAAGCTAAATGGACCACAGGTCTACTCCGTGTGCATTCATGCAACCGCTGAAGAAGGTGGACTTTTCTCCCCACCTAAACAAAATCAGCTGTTCAGGATCTTCAGGTAGAAAACTGGAGTGTCAATCCCCAGAGGGTGAAGAAACATTTCATGGTGCTAATGGGGCTTATTTAGGCACCAATGTAAACAAATTAACCTCTAGAAGCTGCTTGTCTAAATACTGGTTTTCTGTTATAATAATAATAATAAGTAAAAAAGTGACACTTGGCTGTTTATCATGTTTACAGTTTGTAGTGATGCTATTAATGTTGAAAACACAGCATCAAAACGGCCTGTTCTTTGTGGTTTTGCTGACAAACGGAGATACATTTTGAGTCATGTTTCAAAGAGTTGTTTACAAATAAATCACATTGTTTTTAGAGGAAAAAGTTGTATTTTATGTGTAGGTATTCAAAATGTTGCATTTATTCAGGGTTATCCGATATATGGCATAGTATACATGTTTGGTGAAATTTGATTTTTTTTTACGTAAAATACACCGGCAAAAATATGATTAGTAAAAATTCACCTGAGGAGACCCCCAGGTGGCGACCCAAGCCAAAGTAATCGCCACTCCATCGTTACGTCATTTTTGCTGATTAAAATTCTGAAGGTGAATTTTTGTGGATGAACATTTTGGTAGTGTAACTTAAGTAAAGGAAATTTAAATACATCCTTTCACTGAATAAAAGCTAAATACCATAAACTGAGGTTGTATTCTTCCATGATCCTAACGTCAGAATCAACTCCCAAGTGCTTGGGGAACAGCTAAGAGTCACAACCATGCTGTTAAACAGGAGTTTTACTGATCTACTGAAAGTTATCATGATTTATTATAACTTGTACAGTAGAATCTCAAAATGAGTGGCCATGCAATGGATTCCTTAATGATGATCTCGTGCATGAAGCCAAAAATGAAAGCAAAACCATCTTAGTGGCCTAGTGGTAGAGTGTCAGCTCTGGAACTGGGAGACCAGGGTTCAAATCCTGGTCAGGTCATACCAAAGACTTTGGAAAAATGGGACCTAATCCCGCCTCGATTGACACTCCAAAAGTGGGATTGGGAGATTAAACCACCAAATGCTTCCCGAGCGCGGCCATGTCTGCAGCTCACCACTCCCCACGGGGATGGGTCAAATGCAGAGAGCAAATTTCACACACACACACACACACACACACACACACACACACACACACACACACACACACACACACACACACACACACACACACACACACACACACACACACACACACACACACACACACACACACACACACACACACAAGTGTGTGTGATAACTAGTAGGACTTTTAACTTTAAAATAGCATTTTTGCTCTTATTTCTACACATTTTTGTTGTTCCATCTTTGTGCAAAAACTGCAAAATCAAAAAGATTCTGCATGAACTACTTTTATTTATTAGCAGATAGAAGTAGAAACAGTATGAAATATACATATTTTCTAATAGGTAGTTTATGTATTTTGAACTGAAATCAAAGAAATTGGTCAAAGTAAACCCAGTTTGCACAAAATGTGATGAGAGAAGAACAACTCACTAGTTGGGGATGTAGACCTGCTTCAGTTTGCTCTCGGCTTCAGCAGCTTTTAACCGTTTCTGAAGCAGAAACAGGCGGAGGAGGAAGAAGAGCAGAGAGACGGAATGATGGGATTAAGCCTAATCGTCACCAGCAGTGTGAGGATTACATCAATATCGTTCTTTAACATTTAAATGTAAAAGTTCTCGTTAATTTCAACAAACTAATTAGCATCATTTTAAATTAGCTGTGTTGTTTTACCGAAGTTTTGCATGAAACTGAGTAAATGTGTTCAGATCAGAATAAAATAAAACTAATCAAGCGTTACAACTTACCTGCTGAACATATCTGTCTGTGGTCTTCCACATGTAGTAATACTCAATTATACTCGTCAGTGACTTCCAGGGCAACTAGAAGAAGCGATAGAAAAATGGTAGATTTTGAACCTGCAGGTCACAATTGCACACGTCAGCGAGAAAATCTTCATAAAAAAATTAAATTTGACTGAAAATAGCTGATGAACTAATATGTCCTAAAAATAATATTTAATATTTTATTTCCACTAAGGTCGATGTATCAAATCACAGCGTTTCTCTCTCTTTTAGAACATTTGAGCGTAAATGCTTCCATAAACTCTCACGAGAAGAAAACAGACATTTATTTATCGCGAGTTGAATCAGGATCCCTCTGAGATGTTCAGAGACTGAAGGTGTGAGTAAGCAGAAGCCCCACCCATCATGGTGCTGGAGTCCCGTTGTCTCAGAAAAAGTCTGAGGAGAAGCAGGATGAGCAGTAGTGACAGCATCTGGCCACCAGGTAGCAGAGTGAAAACAGCTCCATGTGTCTGCAGCACTTTTCATCTCTGGCAGGTAGCACTTCAGAGCATGAGGAGCTCCAGGGTCTAATGTTCACTTTTTACATATGAAGTGAAGCAGCAGCTCTGGACTACAGTTGTTTTTACGACTAATCAGCTAAAGTCCAAAATATCTCTTTAATCTGGAGTGATCTGCCAACAGGAGCAAAAACTATGACTAACGGTTTCTCAACTACATTTGTGGACATCCAGCCGCCTCCTCCTGCCCTCCTTAAATAGTTTAACAAACGTTTTTGAATGAAAACATTTCAGGAACCAAAATGCTGTAGCAGGATGTTCCTTGGCAGCTCAGCATAAAAGGATAAAAAAAACTAACTCGTGCTTTCAGTATAAATATGATACAAATGCAGCTTTAATCAGCTTTTCAGTTATTTCTTTGAATAATTGCATTGGGATTCAAAAAGAGAATGACTAATAGTGCCTGTAATAGTTTTTGATTTATTAGATCACTTTCTGTAAAAAAAAAAAAATCCCATAAATAATTAAATATCTATGCTCTTTTTACAAGTTTTATATATTTCTTCTTTCTTATTAGGGCTGCACGATATTAGGAAAACCTGCAAACATTTTTGTGTTCGATAACATTGATTAATATTGCGATGACGATATTACTTGCGATAAATAAAAACTTAACTCAGGAAGAAAATTAATCAAAAATAAAAAATCATCAAAATGAGAAAAGCTAAAGGGAAGGAAAGGGAAAAAGAAAATGAACAAGAAAAGGCAATCCGTGGATCCCAGGAAAAGCAGATTCAGCAAAAAGAGCTGAACAAAGCTATCTCAGGTGTTTGCTAACCATCTAAATGAAGTGCCGTCCACCTCGGGGGCGGGCATCTAAGCTATGAGAACCCACACATTTGGCCAAATGGGTGAAGAGCTCTGTTTGATTTGTTAAAAAAAACATCATGCTTCCGTTTGATTGACAGAATGCATTATGTGTAGCAAACATTTGAGCTGACCATTCATTGCGATATTTATCTGTTCTTTGCAATATGCATATTGTGCATGGTGATATCGCGATAACGATATATTTACGATATATTGTGCAGCCCTATTTCTTATATAAACAAAATCTCTTTACAGTCTATTTTTATGGAACAGATGAAAAGATCCGACTTTAACTCCAGAAAAACGTCAGGGCCCTCATTTATCAACCACACTTACACACAGATCTGTGCGTATGAACTAGAGCCCTGCACGGGCCTAAAATCTGAGCCCGTGTCCGGCCCGGCCCGAGGGGGTGGAGCCCCAGCCCGACCCAGCCCGAAAAGGTTTTCAGGATTCTCTGGCCCGACCCGAGCCCGACCTTTTTTTAACCAACAAAATGAAAACAAAGTGCGTCAATCCTGACCAATGTGTTAAAAGACATGCAGGATCCGATCAATTTGTTTTTCCCTCATTTATCGTCACGGAGATGATGGCGCACTGGCTCTGGTGGTAATCAAGTTACATTTTATCTCTTTCCAACAATTTTCACAAGAAAACAGAACAGTTAAAAGCAGGGCTTGTGTTGACCGGATAGTTCCCGTATTTGACCGTTTATTTTGACGGACAAAGAATAGAAAGAATTACCCCGACGCATGCAGACGAACTGACATTTTATTCGTTACGCACATTGCAGATGTAGCTAAAAGATTCCCATCTGAACATCTGAGCTGCTCAGCGCAGCTCGCTGTCAGCGCATATGTGCACAGCAAGCTGAAGTTGTGGAGATTGGCTTGGAGCGCATCGCAGAACCAGAGCGCATGCGGGAAGATTCCTCCAACTGAAGCGAGTGCTTTCCAAACCCTGTCGCTCAGAGAGACTTGTCACTTAGAAAATGTTCCCTGATTATGAAACTTTGGCTGAATAGTGCTTGTTCCTGTCTCCAATGTGGCGACACATCCATGAGCCGTCTGAGGAGAAGCCCAGAATCTGACATCTTCAGCTCAGAATGCGCCGATATGATTACGCATAAGCGTGACGCGTCAACCCGGTCTCACAGTAAGACCGGGTTGGGCCTGTTCAGGTTTACACAGACAATCTTTACATAGAATTGACTTACAGATATAAAATTAATTCAGTAAAATATAAAGCATTTCATTTAAATATCCATTCATTATTTTACAAGCACAGAGAGGAGCTGGGGAGAGGGAAGTCTGGGCCTCTCAGCTTAGGCTGCTGCTCCCGCGACCCGACTCTGGATAAGTGGCTGAAATCCGACGGACGAATAGATGGATATTATAATGTTTTATTTTATTTTTTGTTCTTGTGAATCGTCTCGTGATTTGTATCTTGAGAGGCGCTATAATAAAAGATTGTTTCTTCTTATTATCATTACTATTTATGTTGGAGGATCTACAGCGTGTGCACTCAGAGGGAATGTGTCCACCATGAGCACACAGCTGATTCCTGATGGAGATCCTTCTGGAACTATGCTGTGATTTGGGACACTTTGCGGAGTGACAGATAAACCACACAAATTCAATTCTTGTCCATATTCTATTTCACCCCCCAGAACCTCCTCTGCTCCTTGATCATACAAAAGTTGCCATGATAACCAGAATAAATGACGGCTCAGAAGAGACTACTAAACAATTTATCATAATTAATTTATTTATTTTTTCCTGACGGGGACCTCTCCTTTGTCCCGACCGTGTTTATAACCTCTGGAACTTCTTTGGTTCCTTTGCACTTTGGCAGCCAGTGTCTCGACCTCATTAGTGAAGTTTTTTCTGTAAAGACCCGTAAAGAACCCAGGGAATCCCCTCACGTGCCGAGGACGTGGTGTGACTAAATGTGGTTAATTGAGGGTGACTCTGTATGTAATTGACGATGAACGGACACGAGCACCTGCGTACACACAGGTGGAATTTATCATCAGATGGCTGCGGAGGAACGTGCGCACGAGTGGACACCGTACGTTTCCTAAATCAGGATTTTGACTGTTTGTACGAACATTCTAAATTTAGTTCATAGGAAGGAATATTTCTACGAAGGTTGAGTTCTGATTTGTTTCTCAGAACTATCTTTTCGAAAGTTCCTGTAACAGTCGCAGCTTTATTTCGGTGAAATGAGACTTGGATTGTAAAGGTTGCAGACCGCCAATCCATAAGATCAAATCCATCTCAAACACGTTCAGTTTGATGAATAGTTAACATGAAAGAAAATTTTAACATTAGCTTTAAGTTGCATCTTCCCTAAATATGCCCCCATTTTTGTTTTACCACTCACAAAATCCTGCTGGATGTCTGTGAAGTCTTTGCCGTATTTCTCGAGCGCCTCCTCGAACAGGTTGGCTTCTGAGGCGCTCCACTCCTCCATTTCGTCCCTGCAGAGGACAGGCCCACCCTGAGGCACCAGCGCTGCGATGGCTCGGGTCATGTCGTAGCTGTTAGCGTGGAGCATGTCCATAGCGTGAAACTTGATACAAAAACAGATTAGTGTGTTAGAAATCTGTAAGTGTGTGTGTGTGTGTGTGTGTGTGTAAACTGCAAAAACACCAATGCTCTATAGTGTATTGTCTTGCTACAATCCAGGTTTACTAATAATTACAGATACATGAAGGTGTGTGCACCACAGACATTTGCCTTCATCAATAGTCTCTACAATACAGCGATCTGACTCCATGTAGCTCACCAGCGTGATGTCCCTGGAGGCTGCTGCAGCACTCATATGGAGACTCGGCTGTCGGACAGAACTGCTGCAGTCCAAAGCCCTGGCAAATGTTCCTACTGATCTAAGAGACAAAGACATGAAGAACGAAACAGCTTTTATTTTAAAAATGCATTATGTCTCTTGGCCAGGACTCCCTTGAAAAATTGGGATTTTTCTTGATGGGACCATCCTGCTTAAATAAAGAATAACTAAAACTAAATCAAATATGTAAGAAGGAAGAAAGAATGACATCCTGTGGTCAAATTTGGGTACTGCAGCCCATTTTTTGTAAACAAAACTACACTTTCTGACAACCATTCTGAGTTTCGTGGCTGTTGCTGGTTACGGATCAGCACCAGAAGATTCTAGAGGACAAACGAAGATGAGTCATACACAGTAAGTTTACAAGTAAATAAATACATTGTAATATATGGTGGTCACGCTCTTGGGTGTTTTACGGTAGGTAGCACTTACTACCCTTATTATGGTAATATGCGTCCAGCACAGAGGAAGTGTGGTTGTTTGCTGTCTGGCTGTTAGCTTACTGTTTTAGTTTTGAACGACTCATTAAAGGATATAAAATGCCATTGGTCCATTATTCACTTCACACATTTCACTTTAATATCGAGTTGCTGGTAACTGAAAAAGTAGTTAAGAGAAATTTTTTGTGCCGACTATTTGCTTCTAATTCACCGTTAATATTGTAAGCTAAAGGTTAGCCTCTAACTCCGGTCACCGTATGATTTATTTCGTTTGAAATAAAGTTTAACTTATATATCCTAACCTTCTTTACTTTTATAAGAGTAAAACAAAACGATGCTGTGGCTTCTTAGTGGTACAAAAAATACCTTCTGGGTCACTCCTGTATCAGTATACAGAGTTAAAGAGTTAAAGAGCTTAGGCTCTTTAAACAACTCTGGAACTTTGTGCCTCCAGTAAGTTCCTACTGTTTGAACTGCACCTGATGCCACTGATAATGAAAGTAGTTTGAGGTCACACTTGTATCATCTATTTTATGTTCAATACTCTTATTTATCATGTTTAAAGTATAGTGTAAAACATGAAAATGTCAGAGGTCACTACAATACCTACTGTTAAATGGATACAAACCTGCAGCAGGCTATCCCAAAGTTTCAACCTCAACTCTATCAAACTATTTGTACTATACTTGAAATCTGAGTCTGCGCCAGGAAACCCACCACGTTATCAACAATAATAATATTGTTTATTAAAGTGATAATGTGTATTTTCCTTGGCGATAGGGGGCGGTACAAGCCTAAATAATTGCAAGCAAGCAACATTTTTGTGTTCAAGTAAGACCTTACCAACAGACGGCCATTAGGGTCAAAAACACCTGGGAGCATAATTTCCAACATCAGATCCCTTTCATCACAGGTGACAAGCAAAGTGGTAAACGTGTTAAACAACAATGTTTATAAATGGTGAAAGTTTTGCAACCATTTGTTACAAATCAGTAAATGCATTAGTCTTCAGGGGCTCCCATTAAGGAAAGCATGGCATCGCCCAAAGACTCCGATCCGCTCCCATGTATTTTAGACACGATTTTATGGTTATTTGTTATGAAGCCGCCAATATTTTATTTTTTTTAAACTGGGCATCATTTAATTAACTTTCAACAGCATTTTGATGGATATTTCCAGCGATACAGTAAAAACTACACATTGTCTTTCTGAAGTATAGCTGACATGGTTTTGGTGACTTACCGAGCTACGACTAAAAACTGGTCGATCTGTTTCTCTGTTAGGGAGCTGTTGGGGTCCCAGACCTTCTCTTCCAGTTTCATCAGGTCCCTGCTGTCTTCTTCACCTGAATTTACCAACAATGCACACAGAGTCACGTGTCAAATCATTACAAAAACATATAAATTTAATTTCTTCCTGTTCGAAAAAAAATACAGTTTAAGTAGGGCTACATGACGTGGCCTCAAATCAATATTATGATATATTGAGCTGTTCACCTCCATAATGACAAATGGACAATGACTACCCTTACAATGGCAGTTAGAGGGGGTGATGGTAATAGATTTGGTTGAGGAGATGGATTTGGTTAATGGCACTAGCTTCTGCCGGCTGCTACCTGCGGCCCCGCCCACTGCTTCAGCATTTGAATCATCCTCCCATTTTTTCACCATCTTGCCCTTCTTCCTACAAACTGGGTGGGGTAAAGTCACGTGACTCCTCTAGTCAGTCAGGACCAGGGACACCCCTAGAAAATTGCTGGCCACCCCAGAGGTGACCAGTGTTCTTTAATTAATCATATTAATGTTCACATAAACTATAAAATCATATAATTTAATCAGACATAAATAAAAAATACACAATTAAAGTGTAAATAATACGATTTTTTTTTAAATATTTGATTCCCCGGCTCAGAAAATTTAAAACAATTTAATTTAGTTTTAATTTTAAAAGAATACCGTGATCTCTGTGTTCAACTGCAAGCAGGGACTTTGCCTCTTGCTGTTGAAGTAGGGATACATAAAGGGTTATTGGAGGAGCAATGTCTGTGCGTTTTATGCCATCTAGATGCTGTTGAAGACGAATTTCATTTTTTGTTTTACTGTCCGTTATATAAAGATTTGAGAAGGTCCATGTTTGAAAAGATCCAGCAGAAAAATCCAGATTTGCTCTGGTTATGGGAAGGTGACATGTTAAGTTGGCTTTTTAACGAAAGAATTTTTGTCCTGGCTAAATTTATAGAAAGAGCGTGGGGATGTAGACAATCTGCACTTTATCCTGTCGCGTGAGCTGTTGTTTGTAAATGTATGACCATCTATGGCTTTATTGTTGGTTAATAGTGCCTTATAAGCCCGTGGGGCTGGGCACATGTAGTGTATGACACTTAAATAAAATTTCATTCATTCATTTAAAACAAAAGTTTAAACCTATAGTTTTTGTGAAGACAGCAATTAAAGTGTTTTTAAAAAGTCTACAATACAATAATTTTTAAATCACACTCCAAATAACTATTTGAAATAAATTTTTCAGAAAAATTGTGTTCTTCAAATTTGAGGTAAACATGTTGAATGCAAATAGTTTTTTTTAATGAAAAAGAATAAAGAAGCATGAAATGCATCACCACAGGCTACACTGACAATTTGGGTTTTTTCTGGCCCCTATGAAAATTATCTGGAGGTGTCACTGTTCATAGCGCAGTGTGTTAAAGAAACAACATACCCAACTTTTCATTTTTCTTCAAATACTTCATTTATCGACATGCCGGTAACAGACATACATTTCTGTATATCTCCCACGTCTAGTTTAAAGCTAGAGGACCCTGGAAAAAATACACATTGTTTCCTATTCTTTTATATTGTTCTATGATATATTTGGTGATTTTGAACAGATGACTTGAAGCAATTTAGGTTACGCTGCACTTCTGCTATCTTGGACAATAAAAGAAGCAAATCTGTTGAGTACAGGCGCCATTGGTCCCTCCGACCGCCACCAACAGGCACGGCGTGCCCAACACTCGAACTACATCAGATGAGGCTTGAACCTGCAACCCCAGGGTTACGGGGCAGGCCCTTAACTTCTCTGGAAAAATAAATTATAAATAAAAGTTCAAGCAGTTCAATTGGAAGGATTACGCAATGCAAATTAATTATTGCATAACATAGCATGGTGGATTTGTGTACTCTGAAAAAGAAACATGTTGCTGTAGACATTAAATTAGATCAATATTGTAATGAACAAAGTCTTCCTTACAGGTGACAACACCACCACCAGTGTAGCACACTAAAGTTTAGTCGTGTGGTAAAGCTAGAGTTGCTGTGGAGAAGTCTTTCTTAAAAATTTAAATTGTTCGTTGGAGCTGGAACACAGGAGGAGCTAAAATATTTTAAAACTTTAACAGTAACAGATCAGAGTTCTGTACCAGGGCAAATCATTTATAGCAAAGTTCAAAACTCACAAAAAAAAAGAATAATAGAAATATGTAGTCCTGCTTTTCCGGGACCTGGAAAATCTACTAAATCTGAATCAATGTAAACTTTCAGAACTGAGGTCAGGTGCACCTTCTTGTAGGAAGTCAGTGATGTCAGCCTGGTATTTGTTCCCGATGCGGATCTCGCCCTTATCAGCCAGTAGGGTCTTTTGCTGAGGGTCATACACCAACGAGTAGAAGAAGGCATCCTGGGAAATGCAGATGGAGTGAAAAGTAGAGCACAAGAAAGGCTAGCAGAGATGTGTGTGTGTGTGTGTGTGTGTGTGTGTGTGTGTGTGTGTGTGTGTGTGTGTGTGTGTGTGTGTTTTCCTCTCCACTAGTCTCTCATCTTCTCATTACAGTACATGCAAAGAATATTCTGGTTCAATATGTTGAATAATTCATCTGGAAACAAGAATCTTTAAACTCATACAACACACACACACACACACAAACACACTTCAATAAGCTAATCACATATTTAGGAAAACCAGACGATGCTACTGAGCATCGACACAGGGATCACCGCAGACAACTATTTTTGACACTGAAACTCTGAACATGTGCAGAAGCAAAGGTGTGATCACCAGAATTACAAACACACGGAAAACTAAATTAAGTGTTCTAATGAAAGTGAAAGCAAAGAAAGATCACAGTTTCACCAGAATCTATAAGGAGACAAGTATCAATGAGGTTGATTTAAAATAAAATTTTAATCTAATGTGCATAAGCCACAGGGTAAAATTGAACATAATCAAAATTGTAATTCATATACATTAAGGAATATTCTTGATAGGGCCTCAAAGTAGCTTGAGCCCAGGGGATTCCTGAATCCTGCCCTGCTCAGTTTTCTGAGTCAGATGTAGGGTTTAAAAAATTGACGGAAGAAGGAATCATACTATCCAATTAAAGCCTTTGTTCCTTTCCTTCATTCCTTAAAAAATGGTTTCAGTTTTAGAAAAAGACCACCTGATATCTGGAAAACCTGGAAAATAACAGCTGTGCCCAAATTCAGGAGCAACATCCTCGTTCGTTCACCGCTAGGACTGGAAGTGAGCGGCTGTGAATGTAGACGGTCAAGCCTTCATATTTATTTTCATCCTTCCGCAAGGCAAGTCCTGTTGCCTAGCAACCATGACACCGGTAAACAGAAGTTAAAACTAAACTCAGCAGCATTACGTGACGAACTATGGGACTCGCCACACAAGAGAATTTTTCTTATTTTCTACAAAAAAAAATTTTAAATAATAAATATGCAAACGCCAAAAGCCTGACAACACAAATGCTATTTTGTACGGCCAGATTTTAATAGATTTAGATTAAACTGTAATCCTTTCCTGCTTTGTCTGCCATTCTTCTTAAGAACAAAAATCTTCCCTTGGACCTGCAATGAATTTTGGGAAAGGGTTAGCCGGTGAGGACACACTGGGCCCATTCTTGGAATTCAGGGAACCTTTGATGTTGGACAGCCTTGTTGTCTTGCTGTGACATAATCCGCCTCAAAGTGAGACCTTAGAAGGATGCCGCCCATGAATTTGGACTTTTTCTTACATTAAGGTCAGTTAGCATTGGTGGCTATCCCAAACTGGAAAAGTTAAGAGGGGCAGATGTTGGTTTAATGACGTACCTCTCTGTCCAGGTAGGACTTCAGGGCTTCTGTCTCATTCAGCAGCGTCACGCAACACTTTCCTCTGGAGTTTGGTTAAGGAAGTGAAAGGGACAAAGAAAGGAGGGGAAATAAATAACAAGAGACAAGAAGGAAGAATGACATTACATAAGTGTGAGACGAAAAACTCCTCAGGAAGAATCGACGTGGGATCAAGCTCAGAATCTTGTATCTTATGTGGTGAATCCCTGTCTGAAGTAGAGACAAGGATTCGTTTGTTAACTTGCTAATTACTGAGGTCTGAATTTAGATGATTTCACATCTATTAGTCATTTCCTGAGTCTAGTGCAATTAGACAAACTCAGACACCTTCTGAAACAGTGCTACACGACAACATTTAGTTAAACTGTAATCAGACTTGAACTTTCACTAAAGCTACTTATCAGAAGATTGTTATTGGTTAAAATACTCTTGAGAAATGTCAAGTAATGGTGTGAAGAACGAGGGCGTCGGCCTGAAGCTGTCTATTCAGCGGTTTAGTTATAACATTTCTTTGGTTTTCATTAAAAATTATAACACAAATGAATAATAACAGTTTACAAACAAGAAAGCTTAAATGTGTACACGTTAAAATCTGTAATTCTAATATCTGTAATAATCTGAAAAATGACTGTTTTAAGCAAGAATACTTGTAACAAAATGATGATGCAGATTATATGATTTATGAGTTATAACTATTTACTCTTTTATGCTAAGAGGTCAGAGTTTAACGTCCTGATGACGGATTTGTACAAGACGTCCATCAGCCTGTTTTGTAGGTCTGGAACAGTTCTATGAACTTACCAAATGTGGTGGCTGCACCACGCATCACTTCCACACAAATGATCTTTTTGTTTTAAGGAAAATAGAGTGTTATTGACCCCACTGTCACATAAAACACTCATTAAGATGGTTTCATGCAAATGCTACTTTCATCCTGAGGCATTGTTTAAAGGCAGGCTGCTCTAGTACCAGCATATTTTACTGCATGGTACCTGATGTGTGTGGCTGGCAGGGACTCCAGCTGGCGCGACAGGAACAGCTCTCTGTGTCTGAGTTGGTGCTTCTGTTTCTCGGGTAGATCCGCCATCTCTGAATTCTCCATCTCCTCCTCCAGCTCCCCTACATGATAAAAAGTGGAAAAGGTCAACCATAAGCACATCAGATGAGGCGGAACAATGGTGTTCTCGAGGGGGGAAACGGCGGGATTGCAAATCTATCTGCCGCTGCAGACGCACTCAGTCTCAGGTGCACAAAGAGCGAGTCTAAAACACAAGGATGCACACTTGATGAGCCAGAACAATGAAGTCTCGAGGGAGGAGAGTTGTGTGCAAACTGGAGGCTTTTCAATCGCAGCGACATCATCCACATAAGACGAGCAGCATGAAACAAACTAAACACACACAGCCGCTTCGACAAATTTTTATCCAAACGTAGAAGTTTGGACAGAAATGTCAGAAAGGTGTTTAAGATTCTTTGCTTTCTTAATTGCCTTAACAAAACACGAGATGAACAACAGTGAAAGAAGCATTGAAGTTTTTTCCCTAATTAAAGCCAAAGTTTTTGTGTTTTCAGTTATAATTTAAAATTCAAACACTTACTACAAAATGATATTATTCTCAGTCTTTATTGGAGCTTTTGTAAACTCAATGATAACATAATAGCAATGGCACTATTTAGATGTGCTTTTATGTTAAATATGAGTTATTTTCGTCAGTCTGAATCTGTACCCAGAAATTAAGCAAAACGGAATGTATCAGTGAAGCCCCACCCACACACCCCTCTGATAAAACACGCCTACAACAGTGTCTTGAGCCTGTTTCACACTGGAAGCATCAGCTGTGCGCTAAAGATAGGATCGGTTCTATTTTTTGCCACAAATCGCTTCTGGGACACATCGATTTCCGGAGTTAACATAGGGCTAGACAGGAAATCACAGGTGGTTTCAGTGTAAAATCTACAGTAATTTTTTAAATAAAAGTACTGCAGCAATGTCATTTTATATATATGTGGCTTATGTCTGACCCAACGGCTTATTCACTCCCAGCATTTTTCCAGAAGTGCAGCAGTGTGTTTTACATAGCTTTAATCCTGGCGGTGGAGGGGTACAACATCATATAGGACAGGCCAAAAGTTTGGACACGCCTTCTCATTCTATTTGTTGTCATTATTTTCATGGCCATTTACATAGGGAGACTCTCACTGAAGGCATCAAAACTATGAATGAACACATGTGGAGTTGTACTACACCAAAAAAGATGAAATAACTGAGAACATGTTTTCCATGCTATTTTCTTCAAAGTAGCCACCCTTGTCTCTGATTACTGCTTTGCACACTCTGCATTCTCTTGATGAGCTTCAAGAGGTAGTCACCTGAAATGGTTTTCCAACAATCTTGAAGGAGTTCCCATAGGTGTTTAGCACTTGTTGGCCACTTTGTAAATGGCCATGGTTGTGAAAATAAATAAAACACATTGAATGAGAATGTGTCCAAACTTTTGGCCTGTACTGTAACAAGGGATGGGTACCGAAATTGGTACTTTTTAAGGCGCCAATCGAATTCCATAGTACCGATTCATGTCATATGAAATGGTGCCTTTTTTACGTACCCATAACGTGTGCCGGCGCAAGAGCGTAATGTCATCAGTCACTGTGGGCGAGTTGTAAACAAAGCAGCATGGCAGAGAGGAAGCGTTGTGAAGTTTGGGTCCACTTCATTAAATGTGATGGGTAACTGGGCGATGATGAAACTAGTGTCAATGATCTAAGTGAGGCATCATCATCTTAATCTGCTCCAGTAGGTAAATAAAATGTTTAAGATAGCCTTAGCTTGATATGTTAGCTTCCGTTCAGCTAATGGTGCGTTCATTTTCTCCTCGGAAATCCGAAATTCTGACTAGAAGAAAGGGAACGCGCTCTAAAGTTTGGCTTTACTTTACTAAATGCGATGGGCTGTTGGGTGATGATGAAACCAGCGGCAAAAATCTGACTATGAGGCTTTTTAATCCGCTCCAGCAGAAAAATAAACTGCTTAAAATAGTTTTAGTTTTAGTTTACACAGCTAATGGTAAGTTCGCTTTCTCCTCGGAAATTCCGATTTCCGAGTAGGAAAAATAAACAGTTTGAAAATGAACGGCAAAAGGAATGAAGATACACAGTGAATTTAGTTCACAGCAAAGATGTTTGCTTCTGTGTAATTTGTAGTTTATAAAACTAGAACTTACCACCGTCACACAGTTTGTCCAGAGCGGAAAGAAGAGGAAAAGGAGTACATGGAGCTGGGTTTAGTTTGTGAAACACCACAGTATTAAAATACTAACTGTTGTATATATCGAAGTTTGCTTTAGTTTCATTTGTAGTTTATAATACATGGTCTCCTCATGAGTTATTCCAGAGGGCATAAAAGAGGATTAGGCGCATGGAGCTGGGTTTGTTTTTGCGTCATTTAGAAACAGTTGTTGTTAAAGGTTTTCATATTGAAGAATTTAGTACAACACTACGATGATAAAATACACACAGTTGTATGGTGTTTATCATGATATTTATCAAATATGGTTATATATTAGGAAAATAATATATATTTAATTTAAACAGCTATTAAAATAATTATTAAACACTCAAAAGTATTGAAAATTGGTACCGTTAAGTACCAGTATCGATTCGTAGGTACCGGGAATTGGTACCATATTGATTCAAATGTCAAAGGTACCCATCCCTAACTGTATATGACATCAAACAGCAATATCAAACATGATTTCCTTATTTTGGAATAATGGCAGATTGCATAAACAAAGCAGTCTTGAAGTCTTGAAGGATTTTGTGATCTCCTGAATCCAGCGAGGAGCACAGAGAGGAAGCTGTTCCGCTGCAAAGACTCTACCAGTGTGTAATGGACCACATTAAAATATTAGACCTTATATTTTAAACAGTTTACCAATAAAGGGTTGAAAACATAACGCTGGCAAGTGTAGCTAAAAAAAAGAAAGAAAGTTTCTGCTGAGACCGGGAGTGGAACTGTTGCTAAACAGCATGCAAGGCAGGCACTCCCAACCACCGGACCATCAAGTCTGTTAATAAACAACAGTCGCCTAACACACATATCGATCTCATGTTTGTGAAATGATGACATCAAACAGACAAAAAATGAGAAGCTATGAGCACATTTTGGTATTTTAAAGACTAAAGGGGAAAAATGTAAACAAATTAACAACATAATGACAAAATAATAAATTTTAGGCAAAATGTAAACACCAACTGAGCACAATATTTTCCTGATATACAGGGTTTATTTAGTTGTTGGAAAATGTAACACGTTTAAAAAAAATACCGCGATAATACTGAAAACCGTGACAGTTTACCCGCGAGGTTAAATTTTCACACCGTGACAACCCTAATAGGAAGCAGCCTCTTCTGTTCAAATGTGGAAAGGTTAAAAAAAAAAAGTCAAGGAAGAAAGTTAAAGAGAAAAAAAGTATCAAAAGTTATTTATTAAATAATATCAAAGTATTAAGACCGGGAAAAGTAAAAAACTTAAAGAGAGAAATAGAGGCACAGGCAGGACAAGAGAGGAACAAGGTCTGTGAGAGAGAAGTGAAGCGAGTGAGAAAGCAGTCAGTGAGCGCTCCAATTCATTTGGAGTTTCATTAGAGGATGTGAGACAGAAAAAGGGAGACTGGGAACAGAACAAAAGCAATCAAGGGATTTCAGAGAAGAGATGTGTGGCCAAAATCAATAAGTACTCCTATACTCCCTCACTCTGCCCAGCACTCAGCACCCAGCAGACACACCATCAATGCCCAGGAAGAACATGCACACGCGTACACACACAGCATGGGCCTCGCTTCATCGTCTTCCTTATGAATGCAGAAAATTGTGGACTAAGATCCACACGAGACAAACTGAACAGAAAGAGGCACGTGGGTAGAACTAGAACATGCAGGTCATGAGTGTACTTTTGTTTTTGTTCATTTACTTGCATTTTAAAGGGACGTTTTGACAATTTTGAAGCCTACCGTAGTTAGCTCCCTGAACACCTGTGTGGTTCAGGCCTGATGAGCTAATGGCTAGAGCTCTATGGATATTCACATATGTGACCATCACCAGCAGCAAAAAAATGGTGCATCCAGGGACCAAGTCAAGCAAGAAACTCTTAAATTCCCTGCTAAAATCATTGTGCTTTACTATTGTTGGTTATTACAGTAATACGGTGTAACCAAGGGTATCCCTAAATGGTTTCAAGTTCAATCTGGTTCTCACAAACTGCTGGCAATTTCATCTCCCCATGATATAATCAGCTAGCATAATGCTGGTGGATGAAGAGTATACTGTAACTCTTCCTCAGCTGCCATTTCTGTAGCTTTATTATTTGTCTCTTAAGCAATGCCTGCTGGAAACAGAAAGGAAACGTATCATTTTAATAACATACCGTATTTTCTCACCCACCATTGGTAGCGGAAGAAAAAGCACGAGTTTAAGGTATGTGAGGCGCTGCACATTTGATGCAGCAACAAGCTCATCAGCATCATATCTGGTTTCCTATTGGCTGGGAGAATTTTACCAGGATAATCTTGATTCAGTCCAAAGGGAACAGGATAAATCAGCAAAGAGCAGGTTTGAAGAGCACAGAAAGAAGGTCCGAGCGCAGAGGGAAGGAGCTCATACTCCAGAGAGGGGTCCAGAATAGTCCATTTGAGAGCACGTAAACATATTTAAAAGTAAGAAGGAACTTTTAAAGGGTGAACAGAGTTTTGAGAGAGAGCAGAACAGGATTTGAGTAAGAAAACTATTAAATTGACAAAATGCATGCTTGACTAAAGACAGGATGTGAATCCCATGGAGGCATAGCTCATTTCAGTGTATTTCTGCCTGCATGACTTCTTAAATCCAATAATTAATCACAAGAGTTCTTATTAAAATCTGTGATTATCTTTTTGTTGATTAAATCACTTTGTTCCATGATGTAAAACTTAACTGGTGCCCCTGTAATCTAAAAAAATGAAATGTAAATATATTTGAAACTCTAAATATCCTGAATGACATGTAGTTATAAACACTAAATCCTCATGGGAAGACGGTATCAAGGTACAGTTTTGGAAAGCTTTAACAACACAAAACGAACCCAA